CAACAGATCCGGTTTAATTGCCACAAGAGTTGTTCATCTTGTAATTAAGATCTCAATGAGGAAAACACGCTGTGTTTCTGTATTTTCATTGCATTTTGAATATAGCATATAAACAGTGAATTTTAATATAAAAATATTATTGATTAATCAAAAATCGATCGTTAATTCTCCCGACGATCGACTAAGACAATTTAATCGATGCCCATCACTACTAGCAATCAATATTTCCTGACATTTTATGGACCAAACAATTAATAGTTTAATTGAGAAAATGATGGACAGATTAATCAAGAATGAAAACAATGGTTAATTGCAGCCCTATTGCCAATACACAGCTCTACATTGTACTGCCTGAGTTTTTGTACCAGTACCAAACATTTCCCTTATCTCACAGTCAAAGTGCTCAAACATTTCATGATACTTTGTGTTAAAGACAATGTTCACTATATGTATTGAGGGTAAATACCAAGTCCTAACACCGGGGTTCTGGGAACCTAAATCGTCACTTTTATAGAATATGCAAAAATCTTCCCTTTACAGCAGGGCGGTAATCCTCTGGGCACATTTCGAGGGGTCAGCAGGCTTAAGGAGTCCTGCTTCAGGGGAAAACGTTTGACCTGCTCCTGTTCGAGGAAACTGAATAATACACCCTACACAACACTCTCCTCCTACAGAAACTCCATTCCTTCAAACAACACAAACACCCATCAGCCCCTTTCTCTGTGATTTAACAGTTTCTGTATCTGGGTGGATTTCACTTCACGTAACAACAACAACAACAACAACAACAACAACAAGAAGAGCAGTCACTCTATTCGTCCACTCAAAACACAAACTGATTCAATTATCATATCAAACAGTGAATGATTAACTGGCAGAGTCAGCGAAACCCCACCCGGTCCTCAGTTCAGATACACACACTGATAATCTGGCCCGATCAGTGGCGAGGTCTGTGGCTGCTGTAGGTTTGTTTTTACTAACAACGGTGACAACATTCCTCCAACGTGAAGTAAAAGAACAGTTTTTGGGGGCAGAAGTGAAAGCTGAAACATCTGAATGTGCTTTTGTCTGCCTGAAGTGACCAGGGTCTGCCCACAGATTCATTTATGAGGCTTTGATTTAAAGCTACCAATTTCAAATCTGCCGTAGGTCATTATTTCTGAAATGTTCACTGTGTCGTGATAGTGGTACATAGATAGATAATCAGGTTCCTCTGGTTTGTTCTGGAGTCTTTATATCTTCTCTGCTCTCATTGGTTTTCCTCCAAGCTTGGTGGATTCTTGTAAATAAGAGCACTAGAACGAACCAGAGGAACCTGATTTCTCACAGATTATCTGTCTCATGTACTGCTGTCAGGATATGGAGTTGAACGTTTCAGGAAATATGACAAAAAGTTATTTTCATAAAATTACCTACTGCGCTTTAAGGCGAATAGAATGCATCCCCTAGGAAAATGATTGACAGTCCAATTTCAAAATAGTGTCCTTGAGGGTAAAGTGGCGAATGGATGCGTATGTTCCTATCCTCTATGGGAAGCAATGGGACTTTTTTGGGCGGGGACCCCTGGCCAAAAAAGTCCTGATGATGTAGAGTCTGTGGTCAAAGCAGATGTTATATTCTTTAGTGAGAACAATAGTTTACTAATTGATTAGTTACTGCGTGGTGGGCAAAGTTCGAAGTAGTTTAAAGCACCTGCTAACTTTTAAATTGACCACGTTAGAGAGGATAAATGGTTAGTTGCAGCGGTTAGAGGTGTACATACGAGCACATGGACATAGTCAATTACAGAATTGGGGAACTCCAAACAAACTAATCCACTACTTTTCAAGTAAAGTTAGCGAAAGCTGCTTCCTAGAGCCATGTAACGGTGTTCTTTGGTAAATTAAATTACTTCCGAAACCAAAACTTACTCTGCCGGAGGAGCGACTTCTGTTGAAGACGACGGGCGGCGGCAGCTCCTCGTCGCTGGAGAAGGCGTCCAGAGTCGCGGCCGTGACATGTTTGTTGTTCTGCGCGGTCAGGTTATTCAGATAAAGCTGCACATACACGTCTTTGGTCGGGTTGCCGCTCGGTAGCTCCACGTTGTGGGCCAACAGCTCGCTCTTCAGCTTGTCCTTGGTGAGCACAGACGGGTCGTCCAGGTACTCCGGCATGTCGGCGTGCAGATGGAGGGCAGCTACCGTCGCCTGGGTAAAGTGAGCTAGCTAACACTGAGGGGAAAATGGGATAAACGGAGGGGAGGTTTGGTCTGAGCGGAGCAGCTAACCAGCGCCTCTTACTGGATTTAATTCGCAAAACAAATACCAGCTAAAGGGCTAAAAGTGTCTGAAACAAAATAAGGAACAGAAAAAGGAAATGAATATGACTTTCTGTCGCTCCCTTCTTTGCTCCGCGCAGAAAAATGGAGAAATTAAATTGGTCCTCTGTGAGCGGCTGTTTTGGGTGAAATCAGCAGCGGGCTGCTGCTACTCATGGGGATGACCCGGGCCGGAAGTGACTGCTTGTACAGACCGGCTCCTATTGGTCAGAGGCCGTTCAAGGGAGCTTCCTTATTGGCGGAACAAACACGCAACTATTGAAAATGAACCGCACGTCACATGGTCGACACTGTTCAATCTGTTTTGAGGGAAGAATATGAAGATACAAACTCAAAATAACGCCAGAAAGTACTTTTACAAAGGCGTCCTCGCTAAATTCTTTTTAATTTGTTTTACGTTAGTGTGTAAGTGAAAGAAGTGTTTGTACATTACACATTTGCAATAAAAACTAACACATGACCCCAGTCATCACCATTTGGCACAGGTGAAAAAAATTAAAGATCCACTCCAGACATGTACAAATGATCTGCTTGGAACAATGTGTGTCTAATATGTTACCAAAAAGTATAATTTCTGCATTGAAATCCTTAAAAAGTAATCTCCTCCTTCTACCTCATTAAAATTCCAGAATCTCTAGAAATGATTTGCAGCTGGACACAAGACGTCTCCTACTTCACTGTAAAGTCCATTCTCAGTGGATGTGCACTGTTGGATCACACTGTAGGAGTTGCATACTGGACCAGGATTGACTTGACTAACTATTTAGGATGTCACAAATCCTGCTGGTAG